TGTAAGAACAAAATGTCTCTCCTTTATTGTCATAAGCAGGTATGAGCAAGGTCCCAGGGGCTTCTTTAAAACTGCATTAAACCAGTTAGCTATCTATAATGCATGGGATTACTTACTCCCATGAAATGGATGTATTGACAGCAGCCGATAACATGAGGGCTAATGGCAGAGAAGAGGCTGTTTTAATTAAGATGGGTCATTTCTTTTCTCTTGGAGGCTAACATGAGCTCTGTGTCAGCTCATATATGTTAGTGGCCACTCTCATCAATGCTCAAAGCTGTGTGGAGGGGATGTTTGTGAAGGAAAGTAAGCCATGAGCCAAGCACAAAGGAATAGTAATGAGATTATTTTTCCAGCTCTATTTTCCTGGTCATAACCCTTAGAAGAAACACAGGTGTTCAATGGAAAGTGTGTGTTCACCTCAATAACTGTCACAATTTTTATATCATGTCAAACTAACAGTAATCGAAGATAGGTTCAGAAGGCTAAATACAGCAAAATATGTGAAGTGAGTGAAGTGAGTGAAGTGAAGTGAGTGAGTGAAGTGAAGTGAGTGAAGTCCAAATTGAAACATTGATACATTACTGTCTTATATTTACTACCTGACGGATCTTTTAACTTATATAAAAATAATCTTTAGTGTATCTTTACACTCTAAAGGAATATTAAAGTTTTTTAATAGTCATAGTCAAGGCAGTAAAAAGTTGCTCAAAGGCCCTATGTTGTATTTCTATTTATTTTATATTCATTTTAGATGAGCTTTACTATTTTAAAACATAAAAATATCAACATTAATTTTTTTTTAAATGTGTTTTTAATAGAAAAATATATCAGTGGGGCACTATATGCTATACATTAATATTTATATTATTTTATTAATCGATTATATATAATATTTTTTAAATAATATTTAGATTGGTAGCACACTGGTTTCTGTTAAATAACTGTAAATGTTATTAGAAATATGTGAGCTTTACATATAATACAGGGCTTATTATGTTCTGACATCACTGGCAGTTCAGACTATAATTCATCATACGCTTCTGTTTCTAGTGATGGCTACTTTAGAAGTCGTTGGCCTACATTTTTTAAATCCTAGTTTTTGAATTAAATTGAATTGAATTCAGTGTTTGTTTTGTATTTGTGGCAATTTCACAATGCAGTTTCTCCGCAGCTGTGCTTGAAGATGTGTGTGCGTTAGGCCTGCCACTCTTGCACAAGCCCACCACCTGGCAACAGCGGCTGGCAGGAAGTGCACATTAAGCTTTGACTGCAGGCCCGTATCCTCTGAGACTGCAAAAATTATGGGATTCCTCTCAACCGCACAACACCCTGTCCCACTAACTCCAGCGCTATTTATCTCTCATCATCTTGGTAGTCCAGTGTTGCCACGTCTGCTAATTCTAAGCAACTTGGGCTTGTTTTCACATCACATTTCTCATTCTCAACACAACTTGTGTATTTTTGGCTTATTTCTAGAATATAGTGATGTATTTGGGCTTGCTCTTATAGCTCAATGAAATATGGCCAACCACAAATAACAACTTCTTTTGAGTTCCACGTTACATGATGTCATTAGTAAACAGCATAGTTTATTTTCTTTTTACTCCTGTATTTCTGCCTTTACCTTTCTCAACGATGCATAAATTGCTCCTGTGTGCCACCCTTCCATCTACAACCTTGCTTAATTAGACTTGTATTAATGAGGCATGTTGCTATTTTGGGCTTGTTTTTCTAGTGAGATCTGGCAACACTGCAGTAGTCGATGCATTGGAAGAGCCTAAATGTTTTCAGTGTTAGTGTTAGATGTGGGAAGTGTTGAGAATTTACATATATCATTTAATTATCTCATGTGGTGTTTTAAGTGTATCTTTCCTGACACCTGTGAGTGAATCTATAGTGTGCACTAATTCCTTTGAGCCTAGCAGGTAAGAAGATGGCTCTAAATTTAGGATGCCCTTGCTTGGAAAAGGAGTGCACTCATTTTGGTAATGGTTTGGGGAATAAACTAGGACAAGTCTGTGATGGTCTCCATTGTATCCCAATTATATTGCGACATGCTGCTTTCTGCAATGTCAGATTTACGTAGAGAGTGAGGCGTTTGTCTGCTCCATTCCCACATCCATTGCTTTTGCTGGTTAGCTTCTGTAGGTTTCCCCTGCTGGTAGATGCTTTAACTACAACATTTTGCAGGCTAAAAGCATCTTTCTCCATTAAGAGTCATTCAAACATATCCGCTGATTTTGATGTTTACATCACAAAGTAGTTTTTTAAATGTGGCTGTTCTCAACTGATTTTGCATCCAGTTACAGTATGTTCCAGATACACAAAAGTGGTAAAGTTCTTACTATTCATAGCCAGCAACCAAATTACAGTCTCTCTGTGTTGATGACCATGTCTAACCATTCACTGGTTGTAAACACAACATCATCCACACATAAATAATGAAGAAGCTGTAACCGAACAGGATTACAGGTCATCTCTGCAGTCACACATGATCAGCAGTGCAGAAAATTATTTTATGAGGGGCTTCTGTTAAAATATTGCACAAACAACAAGTATGCATCCATAATAGCTGTGTGTAGAGAGTTTTGTGTCAGGATATTAAAACCACAGGTGGCTGTTTAGAACTGTGGATTCCCTTCACTTCATAGGTTAGAAGAACATCAGTGAAAATGACAAATAACAATGGAAAATTCTTCTACTGCGAGTTCACAGTGAATTTATTCTTCACTATTCAACTCAAAGATCTTGGTTGAATTTATTTTTGACTTCCTGGTGCTATGGCTTTTAACAAAAAATGTACAGACTTTTTAATCATGTTGTCATTGCTATTTATTTACAGAGTATGAGTAATCCTAAATGAGCAGTGTTGGGGGTAATATATTACAAGTAACGCAAGTTACTTTTTTTTCCAATTTATTGACTGACAGCTCTCCTGTCCCCATGTTGAGAGAAATCAGATGTTACTGTCAAGTCAAGTCACCTTTATTTATATAGCGCTTTTAACAATACAGATTGTGTCAAAGCAACTGAACAGCATTAATTAGGAAAATAGTGTTTCAATAATGCAAAATGACAATAGTAAACACTAATTTTTCAGTTAAAGACAGTTCATCATTGAATTCAGTGATGTCAACATCCAGCTCAGTTTAAATAATATCTTTGCAATCATGTCAACGATATCTCTGGAAATGAAGTTCTAAAATAAATATGAATATGCATTAATTCATCTCACTCACAAAAAAAAAAAACACAGATTCAGTATTCCTCAAAATGAATAAAAATAATGCAACTCAGAATATGACGCAAACCTGCAATAATTAAAAGTTAAACAACACAAATATCCTTTATGTATTTAATCCCATTCTATTGAGCAATGTCTTTGCTTCTGACCTTCGATGATCCAGTTCAAGCGTACTAATAAACAACAATTACTCTAGACAAACATGTGTGTGTCTTTTTTTATTGCTGAAGTGTGTTGAGCTTTCTTCTTCTGCATTCTACTGTACGGACGTAAATTTACTTTTCCTTCAGCCTGAGGCTTATTCATTTCACTTTTGGTGTGAAAAGGCTTTTATATTTGCCAAAAATATTACTTTTTTATTTTAAAAACAATCAAGCAAGCCCTGTCCAGATTTAAAAAGTAACGCAAAAGTAACGTAACGCATTACTTTCCATAGAAAGTAACTAAGTACCGTAATTAGTTACTTTTTTTATGGAGTGACGCAATATTGTAATGCATTATTTTTAAAAGTAACTTTCCCCAACACTGTAAATGAGTTATGAAGTACCCCAGTTTTTATCACAGGTTACTCTATATTTCAGGCTTGTAAATTATATTGTAGATCATATTAAGTTATGTACCAGAACCACCATTTCACCAAAAAAATGTGCTAAACAGTACATTAACCATGAATCTAAATGCAAAAATAAAACGAAATGAATACATATAAATTAATTAGACTGATACATAAAAAAGTTAGGTAATATAAGAATCTTTTTCCAGCGCAGGAGCTATTTTTGGTCAATTTTTAATCTATTTTTGGTTCTGACAGTCTTCTGCTGTGCTCACTAAATAAAAGAGGCTTTAGCTACTTCTGCTTCACAAAGAAATAAAACATAAAGCTTTTAACACAGAAGAAACGTTTCATTTCTCAAGATTTCAAGTAGTCGGTAGTCTTCTAACTGAAGAATCACCCCCAGGCTCATAGTGTAGGGTTCTGAGGCTCTGAGATGTACAGTTATTATAAGAGAGAGCTTTTTTCAAAGTTGAGTTAGCTAATGAAGTATAGCTCAAAATTAAAGGATAGCCTAGCATTAAAGATTATTTCTTATAAGTCATAATGAAGTGATAGGCTACTGTAAATAATGTCAGGAATTGTACAAGCAGACTACTTCCGAACAATGCAAATGATGTACTGTTGCTATGGTTACCTCAATCGCGACTTGTTAGAAGCATCTATTCGTCGTTCTCGCACAACTTTGTTGTTACTGAAACTCCATTTAAATGTGCGAATAGAAATACTTGTACTATTAGTGTAAGTTAGTAACGTTTATTAGGCCTATATTAACTCTCTAGGTTTTGTTAGTGGTTTATGAGTCACTTCATCAACAAACTCCTAAGGACTTTGAATATATTGGAAATCTGGAAGTATGGAAACCAACGTTATTTTTAGCGTGTCTGCATTGTAACTGCATTTGGCCTTGTGTGTCGACACACTGGGCTTTGAATCGCGCGTGTTCTTAAAAATGAGCCCCCACCCTCCCAGCCATCCAGCATTTCCCCGTCGTGCCTCCTTCCATGCACACACACGGCAGCACATGGTTACAATCAAGCCCATAAATCAGGTGCCTCCGATCGAATAGTCCGAATTAAGCACACATGCACATCAGACTGGGGCTGGCTGCTGTTGCAGCAGCAGAAGAAGCGAGAGAAACAGTCACACATCAGGGGGAGGGATGGAACCAAAAAGCCTCTATAGTGATCAATATCTGACTGTCTTTTGCAAATCGCTGCAGTGCTTCACAGGTGTACACTCGAGTATTCTCATACGGATTGACTGAACTGGAGCCACATGTCACATGTGCTTCATAGGAAGAACCAGGGCATCATCTGCTGCAAGCTGGATCTGGAGGAGGATGCTGCGGCAAGTGATACACAGAGGGCTGAAATCTTCCTTCTACTGGCTGGGTTTGTTCGTGAGCAGGCATCCAGTGTTCTTCCTCACCGTCCCCGCAGTCCTGACTATCATTTTCGGATGCACGGTGCTGAGCCGGTTTAAGCCCGAAACGGACCTGGAGATCCTGGTCGCCCCGACGCACAGCCTCGCGAAGATCGAGCGGAGTCTCGCCAACAGCCTCTTCCCCATCGACCAGTCCAAGCACAAGCTGTACTCGGACCTGCACACCCCCGGCAGATATGGCAGACTCATCCTGCTGGCCAAATCCGGGGGAAATATCCTGGAACTGGCCGAGCAGGTGCTCCAGGTGCACAAGAGGGTCCTGGATATGCGTGTCAATTATAAAGGCTTCAATTACACTTTCGCGCATCTCTGTGTCTTGAGCCACCGGGACAAGAGATGCCTCTTGGATGATATCATCACCATATTCGAAGACATTCGCTTAGCTGTTCTGTCTAACAGCACTTTTGCCAAGGTCCCCGTGAGCTATCCGAATACAACATTAAAGGTAAGAGACATAAATTGTCTGGAGCACAGCGGTTTTTGAGACGCAGCCTTTGTGTGCGATGGAGCGACATTGCAACAATGAAACGGCAAAAACCAGCTCGGCATATTGCGACTGTGCCTCATAAAACCTTACGAAACGCTCAGAATTACGAATAGACTCCGTGCTGCTGTAATTCTAGTGTGTGCAGCCTGCATAGTTCTCTAGTACTGCACTCTGAGGAGCCTGGTGATGCAATGTACACTAGAAGACACTCACAGAATCTAGACTTTTACCATTTATACCTTTTGCATTATATTTAATCAATAAAATTAAGACAACATATTACAAGCAACAATCAATTAGATGAGCTGTGTTAAACCATTCAAATGCAAACAGATCATTGAAAACATTGAGTTAATTGGAATTAGAAGAACCACTAGCATTTTTCTGTATTGCCTCTATGAAGAATTCTTAAGTTGTATTCATTTAAAATAGTTTTATGCAATTTTTGTTGAAACACACATATACAGGTAACAATCAACTAACTAATCAGTAATAAACACATCCTGCCATCACAAGACAACAAGTTACTAAATATGCCATATAAATTTTTCAGGCCCCAGTGCATGCTGGGAAGATCATTGCTAGAATTAAGAGCAAAAGCTGTCCCTATATAAGAAATACTTGAGCATAAAACTGCTTAAACAACTTTTGAAAATATACAAACAAAAAAGTTTTAGTACAATTTTCCTCAAACATTTAAAATGATGTTCACCCAAATTTTGATCATAAGAACATGAACATAATTCTGTTGAATATACCATTGTTTATATATTGCGTTTTACAATCTACAGTAGCACAGAATCATGTATTATCTCAGTAAATATGACAGTCAAAATAATAACAGTGAAACCATGTTAATTTTTCAGGCCCCAGTGCATGCTGGAAAGACCATTGTTGGAATTGTAATTAAAAGGTGTGCTTATATAGGAAATGCTTGTAAAACTACTTAAACTACTTAGATTCATCAATAATCTAAATTAGTGGTTCTTGAAAATTATTGAAATATTCTAACAGAATACATATTAGTTCATTTCCCCCCAAACATTTTTAGCATAAATGAACATAATTCTGTTAAATATAGTTTATACTCATGATCTACAGTAGCATAGAATCATTTCCTACAGTGTATTGCACATTATTCAATTTCAAGTGTCCTAAACTGCGACTGAATATGCATCTAGTATGAGACCTGTAAGACTAACACAGTCTTTATCAAAATGCTGCAGTATTCACAGACGAAAGACTAAATATTACACAACAGTACAGCAAGCCAGATATCTTGTTGTTTTCCCAAGCCTACGTCAGTAGGAGTAGGAGCAGGATCTGTGTGAATGAGGCGTTTACTGTGGCCTCTACAAGAGCTCATTCATATTGTGCCAGTCTTTTTCAGAACATCTTGAGGCTGTATTGCTGCATCCAAGGCTACATCGTTTCTCAGCATAGGGTGATGCACTGTCCAGCTCATTACTGGATGCTGAAATATTGAGACTATTGAGAAAAAAACGATAACACTCAGTCTGCTCTGGATTTTATTAATTCAGCATTGTTTTGGTGCAAAAAATGTTGTTCAACTGTGGAGATTGTCTTAACATATTTATCCAGCTTCATGCCGTGGTTTGATATTAGCTTGTGTTTCTTCTTGCCTGTTTTTCTTGTCTGACATTTAGCTAAAAGACACTAAGCACACACTGCTGCCTTGAGAAACTTTTTTTTTTTGGTTATGGAAGACCATTTTAATACATTGTTGAAATGTGTTAAATCCATTCAAATACCAGAACAAATCCACACCAACAAAGCTGCTCATTAACTGGTTTGCTGATTCTGCAAGTCACATGAATATAGTGTGCAAGCAAGTCAGCCCTTGGCTCATATGCAAACATTTTTTAATGGGCACCAAACAAGAAGTGCAACAAAGAGGTTATCAGCAAAATGCCATACCAAACACATTGTTTTGCAAAGGACATTTGTATGTCATTATCATCTGATTAGCTTGATAAAAACATGATGTCTGTAAAGTAACAGGACATCCAGATCAAGAGCAGTACTAGTAATAGTAATAAATTGTCGAGGAAGTTACCTAATAAATAAACCAATGAATGTTTCATGAAACACAACCTTGACACAATATCTTTTCACAACCAGGGGTGTGTTTCCCAAAAGCAATTATGGTCGCAAGTTCCGTCGTTGCCAATAGAATTTAATGGAACTAACAACCATAGTTTTGGTAAACTCACCCCACATCAGAACTAACATAAGTCTAAAATAACCAAGGCACAGCCAAACATCGAAATGTCAGTACTAAACTACTTCATGCAAACAAATAAGTAGCATGAAAACGTAAAACGAATGCACTACTCACTTGTTTTAGTTTAAATTCAACCTTGTGACTGACTTCTTTTGTTCCTCTTTAAGGACCCACTTTTACGTTTGTTTTTATTGTCCATCCTTAACTTTAACAACTATGGAGCCTTGCACATGGCATGCAGGAAATATATATTTATCATGGCCATGTTTTAATAATTAATTCTCTAATTTTAGCAAATCATGGCCATGTTGTTCTAATTCGTTCCCTCATTTTAATAAAATCAAAACAAGCGAATAAATTAGTACAATTAATTAAATTCCCATTTAATAAAATGAAGGAATAAATAAATAAAATTAGGAAGTGAATTCTTAAATAATCTTTGTGCCTGCATGTCATGTGCGGGGCTCTGTAACCAACCTATCACTCAATGTTTGTTTTTTATTTTTGAATTCAGCAAGACTGCTGCTGTAAATGACTTAAGTGTGCTACTACTAATCCACTAATAAAACTCTAAACTATATAATTCACAAATGTATAGTGTAAAAATGTGCAGTATATTGATTTTTTTATTCAGAGATTTTGATTTTATAAGATATATTTTATTATAAGATATATGGAATAAGTTAATAAGAGGAATAAGCGTTAAATAGTTTTTATGATCGGCAAATGACCACTACTGCCATTCCTTCCAGCAGGCCATATTACAGATCTCAATTCATTTGTTAAACAACTTTAGTATTCCTCAGATGTTCCAAGCGTACCAATTATTTAACATATTTTTGGATTGCGAAGTACATTTGTTAGATTGCATTCAAATTCAATTTCACTCATAACATTCCTATAATGAAGGAAATAAATTAAGTAACTGGCTTGTTTTGCCTCTAGGATGGTCGAGTGTCCTTTATTGGCCATCAGCTGGGTGGTGTGGCCTTGCCTGCAAACAGCCGGGATCAACAGGTCAAGTTTGCTCGCGCCATCCAAATCACCTACTACCTCCGCAACCTTGGGCCAGTGGTGCAGGACATCATTTCTGAGAAGTGGGAGAGTGAATTCTGTAAGCTGGTGCACCAGCTGGCTACAGACAGCCAGGAACTACACATCCATTCACTTACATCCTTCAGCTTATGGCGGGACTTCCACAAGACAGGCGTGCTGGCCAAGAGCGAGGTACTGGTCAGCTTGGTGCTGGTGCTCCTGGCAGCCACCATCTCCAGCTCTATGCGGGACTGCTTGCGCGGGAAACCCTTCCTGGGCCTGTTGGGCGTCCTTACCATCTGCATCGCCAATGTGACGGCAGCTGGGATTTTTTTCATCTCTGATGGGAAATTTAACTCTACGCTGCTTGGGATCCCCTTTTTTGCCATGGGTAAGTGCGGCTTTGTTCACGGAGACTGCAGTGATTGTATGTAGGATTATTATAATTGCTGTGTGACTCCTCAGGAGGGAGGGTGTAATTATTTTCCATGGCAGTCATCGGGGTCAATGCTTGTGCAACAGTGGGCTTCATCATGTAGGGAGAATCTGTGATATTATGAATAGAAATGAAAGATAATTTGAGGCCAACATTTTTGTGGTACAGTGAAAAATCTGTGAATGTTTGCCTAAAAATTCTATAATTATGGTGAACAATGTCAAGTTAAGATTAATATAAACTGATGTAGCTTTAACATGATCTGTGGATCTGATTGATGGTATAGTTAAGGTACCACTCATGATAAACCGTTGAATTTCTCAGTAAATTGTTGACCTTTTTACATAGAACCAAATAATGGTGGGGCAGGACACACTGAGCTAGCGCAGTGGTTCCCTTCTGGTGGGTTGCAGGTCTGCTCTGACAGCAAAGGTCATCAACAGCAAGAAAACAAAGAATAAAAAAGCTAAATGTAAATAATAATATGTAACGGAATATATAATCGAATCTTGACACTTTCTATATATCGTTTGTTGTTGACATCACAGGGCGTGCATCCAATCAAATTCTGTAGTGTTTACAATTCATGTCACTTGGTAAAACCTAGCCACATCAGGCAGGTGTCAGCAAGGACAGGTTAAATGCGCTAATTTGAGAAAACCATGAACGAAGCTAAGCGAGGTAAAACCAGACTACAATAAATGTCTTACTGTAAACATACTGCACTAAAAGGTTGCACATGGTTGCTGCCTGGCTATATGATATGTGTTTGTACAGTAAGTGGTGATATTCAGATCAACAGGACAATGGCACATGTGATAGTGCTTTTATACAGTAAACAGCTTAAACAAGTATTTAATTTTGCATAACTTACATTTTAAACCCTGTATTGCCCCTATATTTACTCTGCCAATGGAAATAGTTTCAACAAATTCAATCATCTCCCAGCAACACCATGTAGTGGTGTTTAGTACCTGAATGAATCAGTGTGTTGAACAAATCGGTTCAGTAAAATGTTCATCAACTAACAAATGTTATTTGTCGCCACCTTCTGGCTGATATAACCTGACGTGGTTTATAGAAAAAAATAAATGGACAGATGTAGAGTAATATAGATAAATGAATTTCAGTATTTGCTTTTTGATGATGTTTTGCTGTGTTGGACCCACTTGATGACAATTGTCAGATTTGTTCTCCCCCATAATAGTGCTTGACTGAAACTTAATTTAGAATTATTAATGTAGTAAATCCAAAAATTATATTAGATAGTAAACATGCCATTGCACCAATGTGCAATGTGAATATTTTAGTCTGCAGAATATTGATCCTTTTAGTGATAATTAGCTCCTTTTCTTTCTATTGTGCATTTTGGGAGAATAAGGTAGAGTCATTAATTTCTGACAGTGCTGTGTTCTTTCTGACGTGTTATTTTTGTGGACCCCTGGGAACACAATCTAGCAAGCTAAAACAAACTTGGAAATTTAACGAACTCCGAGCTCAACACATCTTGCAGGTGTTAAAAACACCCTTAGATTTTACACCTGTCTAGCTTGCATTAGATGCCCTTAGGTGATGACTGTCACAACCCTCAACTGAGTGGAACTAATTAGCTTCGGATTTAAAGCGTGTCGATTTGTTTGCTCCTGTGGAGGTAGAATCATGATTTGCTCAAAACAAGGGTGTACAGGGTGCAAAAGCACAATTACAACCTGCGGAGAATAACCGCTTACAGCATTCTTACTCTCAGTCAGTTGCTGCAATGGGTTTGGTTATTGTAGCAACACAATAGAATAATCAACCATCAGTTACATGCGGCTTCCCAATTTAAGAAGACAGCAACATTGTCAGTGAAAAGACTGACTGTACTGTAGGGTTTTATGATCATGAATGTCCTTGTGGAGCTTGTGGATCAAAGGTAATAATGCTTGGTGTTGTATTGTATACTCACCTCTTAAGCTTCAGCCAGCCATTTACGACGTCCCTAATGATCTGGACCCCTCAGATGCTCAGTCTTATTGCAAGGCTAGCCCAGCGTGAAAGATTAATTGCTCCCTGACCACTGGATTTTGAGCTCTTTGCACAATACCAGTGGACCTGTGATTTACTGTGCTTTGCATTTGAGCTTCTCAGGAAGGACAATCTGGAGAAATAGATTTTGTCCCGCCAGCGAAGATGAATGGTGACACTCTACACGGCACATCACAATGTGCTGCGGGGACCCCGGGGACATGGGGTGGCTCTGTCAAGTTGGCGAAGTGACATTGGATTCAAGTTTGTGGATGATTCTGAAAGGTCTTTTGATAGAATAGACACATTTGAAATTGGGGTTTTCCTATATAATGTTTATAGTGCATATGTTTGGATTACTTTTTATCATTTTTATGTTTTTTCTTTAGTCCTTTTTTAAACATGTGGTCAAGCTACATAATAAATCTTTGTCTTTAATGGGACAAAAAAGGGGTTGAAATGACATGAGGGTGAGTAAATAATGATAGGATATTCATATTAGGGCGAACTGTCCCTTTAAAAGGACTTGGCAGAAGATGGATGCTCTGCAGAAAACAATGTGCGACACTGTTTTCTGAGACAATGGATGGAGTGCGTGCTATACCCTCAATTTAAGTTTGGAGGTTATTTTTGTTTAGACGCATACAACAAGGGGCCTATTTATAGACTTGCTTCCTGCCACACGTCTTAGTGGCGGAGCGGCAAATGCTTTGTTCTGCTGGGACAAATGACAGGATAGGAAATCAATGTCAGACTACTCACTCCCCTCCTGATCTGAGTGCACATACAGTAAATCTGTTTGCTGTTGACGTATGATGAGCCTTGATCATGAGAATTATAGAAATTATAAAGTTAATTCTCATAATGTCAAATGTATTGATTTATAATTGAAAGGGGTGTGAATCAAAATTGAGATTTCTGTCAATATTTACTCAGCTGCTGTTATTTTTCATGCACCACATAAGGATCATTTTTAAAGAATCTTCAAGCAGCTCTTAAAATACCAGAAAGGGTTTGTAGAAGTAAATAATAATTAATTAAATCGGTTTTATGTGGGGAAAAAAATCACAAACTGTGCTCTGTGTCATGAAAGTAGTTTTAGTATTTCAATTTGTGATCTCTTTCACCCTCTCCAAAAATAGTCGGAGTTTGCTCTGCTGAATATTCTGAAGCTGAGCAGATGCAAGAAGTTCACATGGTGAGCGAGTCATGTTGACAGCAAAGAAATGAAAATTCATAAAAGAAAGGAAAGGTGAAGCCAGAAACAGAGCAGTGGCACAATGCCAAAACAACAGTGTTTTATAAAAAAGCTGTTTATCCAACAATTTATATTAAAATAACAAACAAATTATGTTAAGCTAAGTAGATTGTGCAGACCATTGGTGCAAATGGTTTCTGTGATCTACACTGACTATAAAAATTATTTAAAGCTGTAAATAAAACAAGATTATCTGAGTTTTAAAAGTTAACACCATTTCTGTCTTTCTACATCAAAATTTCACATTTAATTTACTAGTGTGTTACTTGCTGTTTCTTTATAATATTTTGTGAAACATACTAGCAATTTCTGAGTGAAAATTGTTTCAAAGTACATCCCACACCAAATTTTTTTGTGGTTTATGATGCTTTTCGGAAACGTGGCCCAGGTCAGGATAAAGGCTGACTTTACCACTTCTGCAAATGCTAATTTATTTTTCATGTTGTCACGTCATTTTAAAATGAACTGGACAAAGACCTGTCTTTGCTGTAACTATATATTGGCTTAAATTTAATATCAGAGCTTATCTACAAAATGCGGCATGCTAAAGCTCTCAAAGTCACAAAGAAAACATTGCTGCACCTTTATTTTGTTTTCCTGCAGTCATATTAGCACATTAATTTATGAAATTTGACTATGACTATTATGACAGAGAAATGATAAGCATAAGAAATTAGATCATTATACGAGAAAAGAGATGAAAGATAAATAGATAACACTGACAAACATAAATAAAAGAACTTATCAAAGAGCAGATTAAGATGTATGTGAACTTTGATATTTGTGGACCTCAGAGAACAGTACAAAGTAAAAACAGAAGCAGTTCATGACCCCTTTAAGTTAATGTCTGGGTTTCGACATCTGTATGTCTGTCGTGAGCCACAATCTAAGTGTGTGTGTGTGTTTGTGTGTGTGTGTGTGTGTGCAGTGGCGTAGTCACTCTCCAGCACGTCAGTCTTATTGATCAAGCTCATTTAGGGCCACAGACTGTGGAACAGCATGTGCCCTGGGATCTGGACCGTCTCCTTGCAATTCTCTCCACACAAGCATGATTGTGCCTGGTCATGGCTAATACACATTGACAGTGCCTGGGAAGCCCAATCCCATCTCAGTCACCATTCTAGAAACAAACACGTGCAACCGCCAGCATTTACAGCAGACCTTTGCTGTCTCCCGCAGGAAAATATAGATGATGGGGTGTTAGTAGATTGAAAACTTGCCATGTTGAATGCCATTGATTTCCCTCTGTGCTAGAAGGCAAGAGCAAGTCCTGGGGAAGAGATTAGGGGTCTTGCCAATGAACTACTTATCACAAATGTCTTCAAGCGTCACATATTACATGCCATTAAGCCTGTGGCTGGATAATTTGCCATTGTCAGGAGGAAGAATCAGAATGAGAAAGGTTTGTTGGACATCGCAAGCCAAGAGAAAAAAATGCATTCGCATAGCTTGGTCAGGCATGATGTGCGACTACTGAATCGATGTGTGAAATAGAAATAATAACAGACGTCCAGCTATTCATTTGTCATTAATATTCCAGTCCTTTTATCCTTCAGTTGTATGATTTATGTTTCACAGGTATAGATGATGGGGTGTTAGTAGATTGAAAACTTGCCATGTTGAATGCCATTGATTTCCCTCTGTGCTAGAAGGCAAGAACAAGTCCTGGGGAAGAGATTAGGGGTCTTGC